ATTACTCTTACAAATAATTTTTTTGAAAGTGTTCACATTTAGTTGTCAAATTCTCAAGAAATTTTTCAAGGGATTCTTATTTATAATATCTTAAGCACCGCACAAAATAGAAAAGCGATGAACATGTGGCTCGAATCCAATGCAAAACATTAGAGAAAAAAAAGTGTAGATCATACACAATTTTCAAAAAGTCTTCAAGTATCATGCAAGCATTAAATGATTGATTTTACATTAGAATGTGTGATATATAAGTCAAACAGAAACAACTGTTACATCAGTTCTCCAAAACCTCCCTTCTTAATGAAGCATCCCGCATTACATTGGTTTCAAAAAAAAGTGCCTCATTCCAAGAGGATGCAGTGTAAGTGGCATACTTTGACACCAATATTAATGACGAATTGAATTTCGTAGGTAGAGATGAATCACCAAAACACAAATTTAGCATTTATTCGAAATTTTGAAAAATAATTGTATTTTAAAAGGGAAAAACATTTTGATATATAGAATTATTCAGTACTTATTTCATCCATGACAAAAGGTTTTAAGCATGCACAAACATGGACACAACCGTTATTTGACGGAAAAAAATAATCTATCTAGTGATGTGGGCAACAAAAGATTCCATTTCCTTGTGAGTTACTCCACCCTCCATCACTGCCAACTTCACTGCTTCCTTGAGCGCTGTAGCTTTCCGTTTCATCTCCTCTCCCTCCGGAGACGCCATTAACGTTCTCACAACTTTTTCAACAGTTTCTGCAGGCACCACTTCCTTTCTTCGCTCCCATTCTCTCACTGGTATACCAATTTTCAGTCCTTCAGTTATGAACAACGCATTTCTAGGCTGATCAGAATGCATTGGCCACGCCGCTATTGGCACTCCCATTGAAATACTTTCTATACAAGAATTCCATCCGCAATGACTCATAAATCCGCCTGTTGACGGGTGTCCTAAAATTTCCAATTGTGGTGCCCAATCTCTCATTACAAGTCCTCTTTCCGATACCCTCTTCTCATATCCTTCAGGCAATTGATATTTTCGAACTTCACCGGAGAATATATCTCCTTTATCTGCGTCCCTCAGGACCCAGATAAATCTCTGTTGACTTACTTCCAGCCCAATAGCTAGCTCTCTGATTTCATCTTCGGATAACGAAGTCGTTGAACCGAAGGAAACGAAAATCACCGAGCTAGCTGGTTGTTTGTCGAGCCACTCAAGTGAATAATGGCGGGTTTCCTTCTTGTCAAACTCCAGATTTACAGGATTGAATGGACCAAGAGCCCAATTCTTAAAATCCTTAGAAATACTCATTTTCTCCGTCAAATCAAGGTACATTCCGTCGATTACTCGAGAAGTACTGTAAATATTCCCAGCATCCTGAATTACATTTAATTGCTTCATAGCAAATTCTATGACTTCAGGAGAAGTACACCCATCTTGAGACGGAAGTTGTTTGAGTACAACTTCAGCTTCAGGAGGTACAGGTGGTCTAGCAGCCTCCCAAGTATATGTAAACATAAGATAAGCAGAAGCAGTGTGTAAACAGTAACACTCTGTATTGGGTATTTTGGGTACATCTTGAACCACCCAAGAAGTGAGAAAATCGTGAACAACTATCACTCTCCTCGATATCGAAGCCAATTTATTTACTAGATCTGTAACTGGGGTACGTAGTTGCATTGAAGATTTGAAAGCAGGGACGAGTTGTGAAGGGAATTTGATGGATGCATCTGGGTTTGGAGGAGGGACATCGAATGTAACAGGAAAATCAATGAAATTGAGATATGGAGTTTTCAATGGGTTCCAGCCGGCAGCACGGGAGTGAGCTTGCCGGACGTGAGCGGTGGTGCTGACGTAGTAAACGGGGATGTTGGCGGAGGAGAGGCGGCAGGAGAGTTGGAGGGCTGGATGGAGATGGCCTTGTGCAGGAAGAGGAACTATAACTACAACGACGTCGTGTTGTTGATTTACATGGTTTGTTGTTGATGACATTTTTGGAAGGGAAGACTGAAGAGTAAGAAATGTTGGGCAAAATTTTTAGTGGCTTCTTGGTTAGCTCAATTTGGAAATCCACATCTAATTTATACAAATAATTTTATTATTATTATTATTATTATTATTATTATTATTATTATTATTATGTTATAATATGAAATTCATTAACTTATTGAAAATAATTGAAGTCAAATGGATGCCAATGTGAATTCAAATTTTCTTGTCCAAATTACTAATCTTGGTGCTCAAGTTGCTAATTTTGGTGTTCAAGTTATCCTCCTGTTATAGTAATGGTAATAACCAAGTAATTGGCTTATAAATAGCCAAACAAAAAAGTGAAAGAAAAGTATTTTGCCTACTTTCTTTGAAAATATTTTGAAACAAAAAAGTGAAAGAAAAGTATTTTGCCTACTTTCTTTGAAAATATTTTGTTTTAAATGAATTGGCTACTTGATCCCAAAGTATTTCACTTGACAAGTTGGTTATAGACCTTTACATATTTTGATACTCAGCAAATGGACCACACATGTATTCTCTCTGTAGTATTCCCTTCATTTCAAAATCTCACCATTTGCTTCTATAAAAGAAAAAGAAAGAGGAGTTCTCAGAGAAATATAAGAATCAAGCAACTTCACCTAATTATATTTTTGTTGTGGACGTTTTTTTTTTTTTTTAGAGAAGACTTGTTTAAATTTAGAGAAATATTTTACGTAGCTAAAATAGTTTTTTAGAATAGTGTTTAGTATGATTCAAGTATTGCTTATACAGAATCAATATATAAATTATGTTATCGTTGTTATTATATCCGTATTTTCCAACAATCTAAGAAATTGTGACAAATAATAGATGTCCTAAAACTATTGATGATGTTGATACTGGTGCTATCCTGGCCACTACTTGTTCCAGTTGTTCTGTCCGATCTTTATAGTTTATAGTAAAGAAAAATACAAGCATGTAAATGAACATGATTATAAGCTAAAAACTAATAATTAAGTCATCGTAAAACATGCACCTTAATGCAAAATAATATTTGAAAGAAATGACAATCAACTAATCTAAAAATATGTTCGCTGAAATGGATGATATAATTATTGTGGTCTTTTCAGATAAAAATATTAAGGTCAATGTGAGAAACTGAGTGATATGACTCTGGTGCTACAAGGCACATTTATATAACAAAAATAATTTTGTGTCATACATCCAAGTTGAGAAAGGAAAAAAAATTATTTATCTTGGAGATTCAAGAACAACTACGTTCTTAAAAAAGAAAAAATTCTTCTTAAAATTCACATATGATAAAACTTCGACATTGAGTAATGTATTGCATATTTTTAATGTCCACGTCAATTTGATTTCTGTGGAATTATGAAGAAAAGGTGGAGTATTTTTTGTGGACAATGAATTTTGTAACTATGACTTATTATGCTTAATATTTATGATGTTTTAGTAAAATAAAAAAATGCATCTACTTCTACTTACATAGTTCAGTCTATTTCTTTATGGCATGCTAAAATATTTTACATAACTAAAATAATTTCTCCAAAATCAGTACCTTACTCGATTCATTACATGTACTCAATTACTAATATATATTATATTATTATTATTCCTCAACACTTCGGCAAAAGAAAAATAGTTATCAGATTTGTGAATACATGCACACACACATTCATAATTCCATAATGCGTCTCAAATTGATAGTTTATTGATGCAATTGATAGATAGTTTATAAAGGAAAGTAAGATAATTGAAATATGATTATTTTTTCTCAATGAAAATGAGACAATTTTAGTTCCTACTCTTAAATATATATAGTAGTATACTTTATCAGCAAAAATGGCAAAAACGAAGAACTTTTCTGGAAATTATCTAATCTATGAAATAATTTTTTATTTTTATATAATGTCTTATAATACTAAATTCTTTAACTAAATTTATTACAGAGAAGCAAAAAAATTAAAAAAAAAATGGCGTGATGAACAGAGGGAGACCTATGAAGATTATGGAAGTGGGGGGCGGACAAGCCTTTGCTGTTTTATTTTTTTAATTTGTGGTCATAGGGCTTTTGAAATGTGTTTCATGCTTTAAAATTGGATACTTTTACCCTCACAACTATAGCCTACCACCAAATCCCAGCCCCTCCATCTCCCTACACCCCCTGCCCCACCCTAAAATGGAGCTACGAATTCAATAGTTTTTTTCCGTAGACTCTATATTTGTATTGCTATATTAAATAAATATATATGCATATTAACTTGTGAACCCCTAATAAAATTGATTGATGGTTCAGTGGTAAAAAAGAGATCGTGGAAATATTTGCCATACTATATCAACAAAAGTCTCTCTATTTTTAAAAAAAATTAAACATATTTTGCAGTATTTTCCTGACTTCGCCTCTGCTCCACCCCTGCACCTCCTTGCTCACTTCTCATATGTTTTGTTTGATATAGATCCGTTATGATAGATTTGTCTATCTCTATTCTTGGCAATAGACATATTAAGACTTTGTATGGACGGGCATTAATGTAACTGTTGTTGGTAGGTAACAAATTCAACTGTGGCTTGAATCCAATACAAAATCATACACAAAAAAAAAAAAAAATCATACACAAATCATCTCACGATCACACAATTTTTTTTTAAATCGCATCCTAACTAACTTCTCAAAAGCCTCATTAGTGCATGATGCATTTCGCATTCATGCAAGTTTCAAGAAAGTACCACATTTCAAGAGGGTGTAGACGTGTAGTGTAAGTAGCATACATTGATACCAACATTAATGACTACGAAGAATGAAACTTTACGACATGACAACAAGACAACAAACGAATTTTATGGGGGTTTTTCTGGAGAGAATGGTATAAGCCACACAGATACAATTTTATCGTTAATTTGAAATCTATAAACCATAACTCTCCTTCTCACGGAAATAGCAACAATTCATGGTAGAGCGGAAAATAAGAAAATAATTGTATCCAATAACATTAAGCAATTACTCGAGTTCAAAGAGGGCAAACGTACTTGAAAGATAGAGTTGTTCAAATACTTATTTCGATACAGGATGAAAGGTTAAAGTACGCATAAACTAGCACGAACATCACCAATAAAACGAAAAAAAAAAATCTATCTAATGATGTGGGCAACAAAAGATTTCATTTCCTTCTGAGTTACCCCACCCTCCATCAATGACAATTTCACTGCTTCCTTGATCGCTGTAGCATTTCGTTTTATCTCCTCTCCCTCAGGAGAGGCTAGTAAAGTTCTCACAACTTTTTCAACAGTTTCTGCTGGGATCACTTCATTTCTTTGCTCCCATTTTCTCACCCATATCCCGGTTTTCAGTCCTTCAGTTATGAACAGAGCATTTCTAGGCTGATCAGAATGCATTGGCCACGCTGCTATTGGAACTCCCATTGTAATACTCTCCATACAAGAATTCCACCCGCAATGACTCATGAATCCACCAGTAGACGGATGTCCTAAAATTTCCAATTGTGGTGCCCAATCTCTCATTACAAGTCCTCTTTCCGATACCCTCTTCTCGTATCCTTCAGGCAATTGACATTTTCGAACTTCACCGGAGAATATATCTCCTTTATCTGCGTCCCTCAGAACCCAGATAAATCTCTGTTGACTTGCTTCCAGCCCAATAGCTAGCTCTCTGATTTCGTCTTCGGATAATGAAGTTGTTGATCCAAAGGAAACGAAAATCACCGAGCTAGCTGGTTGTTTGTCGAGCCACTCAAGTGAATAATGGCGGGTTTCCTTCTTGTCAAACTCCAGATTTACAGGATTGAATGGACCAAGAGCCCAATGCTTAAAGCCCGAAGCTCCCATCATTTTATCCATTAGATCAATGTACAATCCTTCGATAACTCGAGATGTACTGAAAATATTTCCAACACCAGGAATCCTTGCAGCTATTTGCTTCTTAGCAAATTCTTCGAGTTCAGGAGAATTACACCCATCGAGAGACGGAAGTTGTTTAAGTACAGCTTCAGCTTCAGGAGGTACAGGTGGTCTAGCAGCATCCCAAATGTAAGAAAACACAAGAAAAGCAGAAACAGTGTGTAAACAGTAACACTCTGCATTAGTTATTTTTGGTACATCCTGAACAACCCAGGAAGTGAGAAAATCATGAACCACAACAACTCTCCTCGATGTTGAAGCCAATTTATTTACCAGATCTGTAACTGGTTCACGCAGTTGCAATGAAGAATTGAAAGCAGGAACAAGTTGAGAAGGGAATTTGATGGATGCATCTGGATTAGGAGGAGGTACCTCGAATGTTACCGGAAAATCGATGAAATTGAGATTTGTGGTTTTCAGTGGATCCCAGCCGACAGCACGCGACTGAGCTTGACGGACGTGAGCGGCGGTGCTGACGTAGTAAACAGGGATGTTGGCGGAGGAGATGCGGTGGGAGAGTTCGATGGCTGCGTGGAGATGGCCTTGTGCAGGAAGAGGAACCACAACTACAACGACGTCGTGTTGTTTTTCTACATTGTTTGTTGTTGTTGCTGCCATTTTCGGAAGAGAAGTGAGTATGCAATGTTGGGCAAAATTATAGATGTTTTTTTGGTTGGCTCAAAGGTACTCTTATTTGTAGTGCAAAAAGTCCTTTTGCTTTAGTGAATTTGGTAGGTGGAATAAAGAAAAAGGAAAAGGTTCATACTCCCTCCGTCCATAATTATTTGTCAGGATAAGATCATGCACATCCCTCAAGAAAAATTTAATACAAGGTGTAATTTGATTAATATAACCCTACTATATCAAGAATACCAAAAGTCCACATAACTTTTCAATTGAACTACACAATCATTAAGGGCAGAATTGGAAAAAAGTGACTAATTATTTCTTGATTGTTTAAATTGACAATTAATCTTGGACATCTATTTTTAGTATACCTGCCAAACAATTGTGGACGGAGGGAGTATTACTCTAGAGCCCGAATTGATGTATGATTGGTTTTTGACTTATTTTAAGTTATTTTTAATTTTGTCCAAACACTCTTTTACTTATTTTAAGTTATTTTTTATATTTATCAAACACTTTCACAAGTCAAAAATAGACTTAAAAGTAGGTTTGATCAATTTTTAAGTCAATTCAAACAGCTTCTTAAAAATCAAAGGGCCGTCCTCATATATATTTTTTGATATATTTGTCATCGTCATCTAACTTTGGGTAAGTATTTGTGTTTGGACGGTTAAATATCATGTCAGCACCTTTATTATCTTATATGGTTACATAGCTCTTATATGGATATATATTTAGAGAAAATTGCCAAATGTCTCCTTAATCTATATTCGAAATTTAATTAGATATTTTAATTTTACGAAGATCCTATCACCTTCTCATAATCACATTTATACTGATCGATGAAACTCACGCATTTGACATGTGGAATTATTTTTATTTTTTTTTCTTTCGAATTTATTGTTTTAACAATAGTTATAAAGGCCATAATGTCAAAATTTATTTGAAGCTAAACATACTAAGTTTGACTGAGATCATCGCTAAGATTTGAAGAACGCTGAAACTTAATGAAACTTGATGAGTTTCTATATGAAATTATTGGATCTATATTGGTGATTTGGGAGCAGCTTTAGTTTCCAACGTTTTTTTTTTGTAAATTGTGTCAATGAACAAAATTGAACGGAAGGACTGCGTGATATTTTTGACAAGAGAAGTGCTAAATTGCCAGAAAATAGAATTTTTAAAAAATTATAATTTTTTTTTTACTTTAAAACAAACTGGTCTTTATTTAAAATATATTAAAGTTAAAAGAGTAAAAATATTTAAAAAAGTAAAATAACATAGATAAAATATTATTCTGGCCAAAAACAAATTTCGTTTTGACAATTCATTGTTATTTGTTTACTTTCAAAACGTGTCCTTTAGCACCCCACGTGTCCTTTAGCACCTCATGTCACTTTTTTTTTTGGTTTTCTATGGCGGACCCACCTTATACTAAGGGGTCACCCGACACTTTCGTTGAAAATTTTTAGTATAATATATAAAAATCTGAAAAAATAAAAAAATAAGTACAAATATTATTAATGACACTCGAGCAAAACAATTGTTTCAATCACTGTGCGCGAGTTTGAATCCTAGTAACGACTTTTATTTTTATTTTTGAGGCGTTTTTAGAAAAGTTTATCGAAATGATTCAAACCTCCAAACTCACTATTCTTATTTAAATTAGCCTAAAATAAACCAATTGAACTAGAATACAACTTATTACGGGTAAAACTTATTCGTATCGAGTATAATGTATATCACATACATGCATGCCATGCATTTAAATTTATAATTCATTTTACTTAACCTTAATTAATTAACATGTGTTTTATTTCATTAAATCACATAATAATGAAAATTACATTAGTTTGGTGTATACACCCGATGCGACTAAGTTTTTTTCAGTTACCTATTATAGAAATTTTATTACTTGATCAAATTGGAATTGGACACAATAATAAATTATAAAGTAAAACCTAAGTTGAAAAGAAACCTCTAAGTTTGCAAATTGCAAGTGTTGTTGTGTTGAAAAGTTGATGCTACTGTGATTTTCTCTTAATTGTAAGTTCACTTTTCTTTTTATCTCTCATCTTTATAGTTTTAGTTGGAACTTCTTGAATATTCATCAACTTTTTTTATAGATTTAATTTCTTAAAATTGTTTAGAGTTATCTAATTTATTTAAATTTGTAATTCAGATCAAATCAATGGAGAGATATTATTTTAAAGTATCTTCAAAGCTTTCAAAATCAAGACTGATTTACGAAATCGAATGGATGATGATCTTTGGAGTGGTTGTTTGATGCCTTATATAGAGAAAGAAATATTTAATACTATCTCCAATGAGACTATTATGAATATATTTCAAAATATGAAAACTCGCGAGGAGAGTTATAGTAATTTACTTGATTTATGTTTTTAGTACGTTTTAAATAATTTTATATTAATATAATGTTTTTATAGCAATTATTTATTATTTATTTATTTTTAAATATCACACCACTTACAAAAAATTCTGCGTACGCCACTGCTGCCTAGCATTCGATAACGAGTCTGAATAAATCTGAATTTGCTGCAAGAAGTTTTACTTTGAAGATAAAATGTTACCTAACAGAGATGATTTCATATCTAAAGAGACTCAAATTCAAGACCTGTTAATTAAAGAGGAAAGATTACTTATCACTTTATCAAAATCCTCGTTGGTAGCAACCATGTACTTTATTGATATTTACTCAACTCAAATTTCTGCCAATCAGATTAAGGTATATCTATTTCTCCTAAAGAATTATTTAAAGAAAATAGAAAATAAGAAAAGAAATTTCATGTCCCACAAAATAAAAAATATAGGAAGTCATCATGTAAAACAGTAAAAGGCATCACAAAAACATACTCCCTCTATTTGTATTTTATAGTAACAAAAATATTTAAGGGCATGATTTGATATAATTTTTATTATTATCCTTTCTAAAATTATAAATGTAATTTTGCAAGTACTTTTCACTATTATTCTTTTTGAAATTATAGATGCAAGTACTTTTTTCATTCCTATGTATACAACATCATTTTAGATTTTACGTCCCTTAAGAAATTAGATAATCTTGAAGTTAAGTTTTCAATAATAAACATAAATTAATTTATTTAATTATTCAAATTGACCAATGAATATAAATTAGTCATTTAGTTTCCCTATGTTGGACAACTCATATTTTCAAGGCTAATAACTCTGTAAAATAATAAGAATAGTGTTATTTATGAATTGATTTTGCAAAATAACAAGTATTATTAAGAAACATATATTTTTAGTTAGAACGACATATAAATAAGAACAAAGGAAATAGTATAATTTATTCCCTAGAAAATATAAAACTTCAATAAATGACAGGGAGAATATGGAAAAAAATTCAACATTTATCTTGAACTTTGAACAATTTAATTAATAAAAAAAGGTTAAAAAATTCACTTAATACTCCCTCCATTTCAAAATAAGTAAATTGTTGTAGTATTGCACCCTGTTATAAAATATTATAGTGTGGATGTCCATTACTCCAAGAAGTTACTCTCACCCATTATCTCCATTACTTTCCTCCATTATGAATATAATCATAACCTCCATAACCTCCAACTTTATAACCATTATTCTTGTAACTTTTTACTTCCATAACCTCCACCATTATATTCATGTTAATGTCATGTTTATGACTAACCTTTTGTATGCCTCTATGTTACACTATAAATAGAGGCATAAGAGTTCATATTACTTGAAGACTTGGAATAATAAGAAAAGTTCTCATCTGTTGTCTCCCTATTTCTATTGTTTTCATCTTCTATATTTCTTGTCTTATTTTGCTTTAGTTTTACAATACGTTATCAACACGAATTGCTCATTCTCCGTCAAGAATCAATGGTAGATATTTCATGATTTTTATGAATTATCCTAGTAATTCTTTGGCTGCAAGGTATACTTCTTTTCATATATATTATTTGTACTAACAAAGCTTGTTTTGTGGTTATTTTAAAATGGTTAGTAAATTATGATAACTTCATAACAATATTGAGAGGGACTATTAAAATGTTTTAATTTATTTTAACTTGGGCCTTTAATATGGTTCCAACATGTTGTTTTAATTAATTGATTTCGTTCATTTTTCTTATGTTTTAAGTCAAATTCAGATTATATTTATGGTTTTCGATATTATTTTTTTTTGTAACACTTTGATTTATTAAGACAATGATTGAGAGTAAGATGATGAATTCAAGTCTCATCGCACCAAGTGGGTAAGACATCGAGTTAAAGTCTCGGTGCGTCATGATAATAATATGTTGGGTTCAAGTCCCATTGATTTATGGGATAAGGCTTCTTTATATGGATAAGACATTTGATTTAAGTCTTAATGCACTATAGTGATAATATGATGATGACTAAGGCAAAATGATGAACTTTTGGTGAAATATGTTTTGTCCGATCTCCTTTGATTGTATCTTCCCTTCAATTGAGCTATATATTATTTTCGTATATGGTGGCTGTAATATCCTTTTCAAAAGAAAATAACATATTTTCTGAATATGATAGATCATGATTCCAACCAAACATACTCCCGACTTGATTTATAGATCAATGTTATTTCTGCATGATTTGAAGAAGTGGTTACTAATGTGATTCTTTGAATGCCAAGATATTGTTGTTTCTCCATATGTAAATAAATAGTCCATTTGCGATCGAGCTTTATGTAGATCAAATAAATATTCTGTATCTACATAATCAAATCATTTCTGACTCGGAGATTGATCATTTCAATTTTATTGAAGCTCGTCTTTTCTTCTGAAAGAAAATCACACATCTTCTATGTGTTGAATCACTTGCTTTGTTAGTTTCTTGTCATAACTTGAATGATAATATGACAATCCCTTCACATAAATTTCGTTATGTCTATAAAATAATCTTCTAACATTTGTCTAACCAGCAATCTGTAAGTGCACCAATTGCACTAATACATGACATTTTAAATAATTTTCATGAGATCAAAAAGATTCTTTCTTTCTTTGTGTTAAACAGTCTCAGAACCATTGGGTACTCAATGAAATTGCTTTAAGACCTTTT